GCTTTATGAATCTCTTGACAAGATACTAATACCAGGAATCTACAAGGAATTCAAACAAATCAGCAAGAAAAATAAATAATCCATCAAAAAGTGCACTAAGGACACGAATAGACAATCTTCAATAAAGAAATATACAAATGGCCAACAAACATGAAAAAATGCCAATATCACCAATATATCAGAGAAATGTATAGTCAAAAGAGTTCCAAAGCCCACAATGCCATACTACCTGATTCTTGCAAGAATGCCATAAAAAAATAAAGATAGATGTTTGGCGTGAAGTGGGTGGAAAATGGAGCCATTTCATACTGCTGGGAGGAATGTAAAGTAGTACAAACAGCTATGGAAAATAGCTTAGAGGATTCCTGTAAAGAACTAAAAGCTAGATCTGTCATTTGACCCAGCATCCCTCGCTACTGGATATCTACCCAAAGGAAGAAGGATACCCATTTACAAAAAAGATACTTAGGCCGGGTGCGGATGGACTCACGCCTGTAATCCGAGCACTTTTGGGAGGCCGAGGCGGTGCAGATCATGGAGTCAGGAGATCAAGATCATCCTGGCTACACAGTGAAACCCCATCTCTACTAAAAATACCAAAACAAAATAGGCCGGGCGTGGTGGCAGTCGCTTGTAGTCAGCTAACTCGGAGGCTGAGGCAGGAGAATGGCGTCCAACCTGGGATGCTGGAGGCTTGCCAGTGAGCCGAGATAATGCCACTGTACTGCAGCCCCTGTGCAACAGAAGCCAGAACCCCTGGTCGCAAAAAAAAAAAAAAAAAAAGAAAAATATATTTGTACAAAGCAGATTGATAGCAGCACAATCCGTGGATTGCAAAAATATGAACCAGCCCCAATGCCCCATCAATCAACTGAATGGGAAAACAATGAATGGATAAAAATATATATATATATATATATATATACTATAATATATATGTGAATACTACACAGTCATAAAAAGAAAAGAAATAATGGCATTCAAAGCAGACCTGGATGGAAGTTGGAGACCATTATTCTGAATTGATTCACTCTGGTATGGAAAATCAAGCATTGTATGTTCTTACTTTATAAATGGAAGCTAAGCTTGAGAACCACAAAGACATAAGAATGATACCTTTTGGGAACTGTGGGGAAGGGTGGGAGGAGGTGAGGGATAAAAGATGACACTTCGGTACACATATGTACACCTAATCGGGTGCTGCATGTACCAAATCTCAGAAATCACCACCCCAAAGAACTTATCCATGTAAACAAACACCACCCATTGTTTCCCCAAAAACTAATTGGAATTTAAAAATGTTTTAAATAAATAAAATTAAAAGAAAATTAAAATGGATTATTTGCGTTCAAAAAAAAGAAATCCACCACTTGTACAGCTCTGTGTAATGTGAAATATGAATATCCAACAAGTTACATGAAAAAGCGTTAAATAATAAAAATCCTCCCAGTCCAGGCATGGTAGCTCACTACATGGTTATTCCAGCTACTGGGAAGCATAAGGTGAGAGAATCCCCTTGAACCAGGAGTTCGAGGACTGCAGTGAGCTATGATGGCGCCCACTGCAACTCCCAGCCTGGGTGACAAAGAGAGACCCTGTCCTCTAAAACAGACAGCAATAATAATCCTTCCTTTTTCAACTCAATATTTGTGTAAGGCTAGATTTTCAAACATACACTTCAATCAAGAGTAAGAGATGGCTGGGATGCAGCTGAGGCCATAAACCTAAGTGACTTAATGCAGGAACATAAAACCAAATACTGCATCTTCCTCACTTATAATATGGGAGCTAAACAAACTGAGCGCACATGGACATAAACATGCCTAACCAAACAGACACTGCAGACGACTAGAGTGGAGAGGGTGGGGACATGGGTTGAAAAAACTACCTGTGGGTAACTATTGCTCACCTACATGAGTGATCAGGATGCCATACCACGAAGTCAGCATCAACCAACATACCGCATGTAACAATCGGCACATGTACACCCAATGTATCTTTTTTTGTTTTTTGTTTTTTTGTTTTTTTGTTTTTTTTTTGGAAGACAGTTTTCACTCTGTTGCCAGGTTGGGTGCAATGGGCGTGATCTCGGCCACCGCAACCTTCTCAGCCTCCACGGGTTCAAGCAGATTCTCCCTGCCTCAGGCCCTCCTGGTAGTAGGCCCCTGGGATTACAGGCATGCACCAACCACGCCCGGCTACTTTTTGTATTTTTAGTAGAGACGGGTTCTCATGTTGATCCAGCCCTGGTCTCAACTCCCGCATCTCAGGTGATCCACTGCCGCTCAGCCTCCCAAAGTGCTGGGATTACAGGCGTGAGCACCGCGCCCGGCCACTCCCTATATCTAAAATAAAAGTCAAAATTTAAAAATCATAAAATAAGAGAATGTATTGCTATGAGCGCAAATGACGCTTGCAAAATTTTTCCAAAGAACGACACTTACGAAAATGAAAAATCAATCACTCTTCTTTGTTACCAAAAAATCTTGGTAGCTGCAGAAAGGTGGAATCTTTTCCTCCATTGGGAGTCGCAGAGCCAATACATGAAACCGAAAGTGACCCTCAAGTCAGAGCAATGCTTATTCCTGCCACCAGGACTTCTAAAGACTAGAACAGCTCTCCCAAAATCTAACTTCTTCCGCTAGCGGGGCGGCTAGTAGGATCGAGGGGGCTAAAACGTTGGTATTGCTCTAAATGAGGTTGGGCCATTAAAGTGAGGGGGAGGAATATTCCATATGTTTTACGGAACAGGCATTGAACTTCTCCAAACCGGTAAATACTGTCCTTTCCTTTCGGTCCTTTTGACTTCTAACTCACTGTCATTGGAGATTTGGTCAACTGTCATGCCACGGATGGGTGAATTTAAAGCTTTGGAAACGGGATTACAATGAAGCCGTGAGGTCCTTCTTGAAGTCATTTTGCCGGACTCTCTTGGTTGTAAACGATCTCAGCTGGTTTGACCTTACAAGGGCAACTTCTTGAATCAGATCCTGTTTTTTTTGTTCTGTTTTTGTTTTTGGTTTTTCATTTCTTGTTTTTTTCCCCAGAGTCTCCCTCTGTCCGCCCCAGGTTGGAGTGGGTGTGTGATCCGATGCTCACCTGCAACCACCACCTCCCGGGTTCAAGCAATTCTCCTGTCTCAGCCTCCCGAGTAGCTGGAATTCCCAGGCGCGCACCTCACCACACCCAGCTAAATTTTTGTATTGTTAGTAGAGAAGGGGTTTCAATCATGTTGGCCAGGTAGTCTTCAACTCCTGACCTCCGTGATCTGCCCAGCCCCGGCCTACCAAAATGCTGCGATTGACAGGCGTGAGCCCACCGTGCCTGCCTATACATTGTTAATTTGGAAAAAGTAAAAAGTTAGCGGTTTTTTTTTTTTCATTAAAAAATGTATTCCGCTCAAGAAGATCAAGACCATCTGGCCAACAGTGGGAA